TCTGTGAGACACCACCTGTAATCACAGGTGGTAGCGGAGCTTCTGGTTATGCCACCGAGCTCATCGACTCCGAGCGGTTCTGCGATCCAGGGAAGTCAGAGCGGAGCAGGCGCGGCTTGGAGGGACAGAGAGCCACCTCCAGTGTTTGATGGCCGTCAACCTGACAAGAGTTTTCCCAAGTGGTTGAAAGAGCTTGATCTTTGGAAGTTTGAGACCGAGATCCCCAAGGAGAAGTGGGGAGTAAAGGTTTGGAGGCAGCTGGAAGGCTCAGCGAGGGCCGTGGCTGATTCCCTTACCTTTGAGGAGCTGGCTTGCGAAAAAGGTTTGGACAACTTGCTAAAGGTGCTCAAGGAGCACTACGAGCCCCACCTGGAGGTTTCCCTGCCCAAGGCTTTTGAAGATGCGATCTACGGCGACGTACGGTCTGCCAAGGAGTCGTTTGGAGACTATGTGATCCGCATGGAGAGGTCTATCAAGGAGCTGGAACGGCAGGGAGTGACGTTGCATGACATAGTGGTTGGCTATGTGATCTTCCGCCATGCAAACCTTTCAGATGTCCAAGAGAGTCAGATGTTGACTTGGGGAGCTGGCAAGTATGATCGAAAGACTGTGGTTGCCAACCTTCGCAGGCTTGAGAAAGGGGTGTTTGACGTCAAGCGGAGGTCGACGCACTACTTGATGGAAGAAGGAGACCCTCCGGCGGATGAGTCCGAAGGCCACGCCGAGGTCTTTCACCAAGACGACGAAGCGGTGGAGTCGGACCTCGATGAAGATTACATCTATATTGGTGAAGATGATTTACAAGACGTCTACGAGGAGGAGCACGTGATGGAGGCCCTTGCAACTTATCAAGATATAAGAAGGTCCCTGAGGGACCAGAAGAACAGTCGTGGGTTTTATCCGTCCGGCAAGGGTGGCAAGCGAGACTTTTCCAAAGGAAAAGGCAAAGGAGGAGACCGACCTCGGCCTATGCTGGACATTAAGGGAGGGGAGCCCACAAAGCTCCAATGAAGTTTGGTGGAAAGGGGACCAAAGTGCATGTGGATCTTCTCAAGTTAAGGACAAAGTGTGCCCGTTGTGGCACTGTGGGCCACTGGGCAAGAGAATGCCGAAATCCACCAGATGAACGCGGCAGACAGTCTCAGGCAAGATCTGTCTCCACTGGCCCCTCCTCAGTTTCTTCGCCCTCGACCCGTTCGGGCTTTTATGTTGAGACCTCGCAGCCTGAGGCAGCAGACTCGAAGAGCTGGTTCCGGGAAAACAAGACGTTCTTTTACATGTCCTATGTTCCCACGTTCGGCAGCCTCATGAGTTCTGTGCTTGGAAGAAGTGAGAACTTGAAGACTGGGTGTGATGAGCCGTGCGAGTCCTTTGTTGGGGTTGCTACAGCCTCTGGCGAAGGCATTGTCGACACGGCGGCCCAGGACGGCCTCATCGGCAAGGCAGCCCTCCTGCAGTTTACCGAGACGTTGAGAGGTTTCGGACTTCAGATACGGTGGAACCATGAGAAGAAGGCTCAGGCATCCGGTGTTGGCGGCAAGGCCAAGGTGATAGGCATTGCAGAGTTGCCCATTGGACTTGCTGGTGTCAATGGGCTGCTTGAAGCGACTGTGGTGCAAGACAACGTGCCCCTACTGTTGCCTATTAAACTTCTTCGTCAACTCAGGGCAGTGGTGGATCTGGACGACAACCTCCTGCGACTCAAGGCCTATGGGGTTGAAACCAGAATGCATGAGTTGCCCTCGGGTCACATGTCTGTATCGGTGACTTCGTATGCGCCAGAGGGTTGGAGCCTTCCGCGTGATGCACAATCTCATGCACTGAAGCCAGACCAGTATGTGCTTGCAACAAGCGGCTTCCTCAACCAAAGCATGTCTTTTCTCAAGAGTAGCAAAGCACGCAGCGTGAAATTCGACACCGGCGACCTCGATGGCAAGTTTGCTACTGCACCGGATGATGGATCAGAGGGACAGGGATGCGCCGGTGCATCCCGGGAGACTGGCTCCGTCAGTTCTCAGAAGCCGCCGGGCAGTGAAGAGGTGGAGAATGGTTCTCGAGAAGCTGGGCGACTTGATGATGTTCGTACACCTTCGAGAAAGGGTTACAGAATGGCTGCCCGATGGCTCCTTGCGGCTGTTGGGGCTAACATCGCCAGCAACGGTGCCGGCTTCAGCTACTACGCTCCCGGCGTCTTCCTCAACGGCAACGGAAAAGCAGCTGGAGTATGCCAGGGTGATCCGTGTGGCGCCCTATCTTGGACTTCGCAAAACGAAGGAGCCGCCGGTGTGTACCATGACGGTATGCCCTCACCCCGCGGTGGAGCTCAAGGGATCTGGCAACCAGTACTCCAAGGAGATTTGGTGCAATCGATGCAAGGCACGTTGGGAATACCTGAACCCGGAGAAGCTAGCCCAGGCGGAGTACGAGAAGAACCAGGCCGAGGAGCTCAGGACATCAGGGGCCATGAACTCAAGGGCCGAAGTGATCCTGTGCACGTGCCGGAAGGAAGCAGTCAAGCTCGTGGTGAAGAAGGCAGGTCCCACCCAAGGACGCCACTTTTACAAATGCAAGCAGAGGGTATGCGAGTTTTTCCTGTGGGATCCGACCGAACAGGAGAAGATTCGGAAGTCGGAGGGAGCTATGGATCTGGAGATCGAGGAGGACTCGGTGAAGAACAAAATGGAGGCCATGATGAATGCCCAGGCGATTGCCCACCAGCGAGAGGTGGACGAGCTGAGGACACAGCTGGCCTGGATGCAAGGGTTCGCTCAACAGTGGCAGATGGCACAAATGGCCCAGAACCCCGAGAGTGGCTCCATGGATGGATTCCAGATGGTTCAAGACCCTCAGTGACGAGCCGGGGACTTCCCGAAGGAATAGGTCCTGAGAACAGTTGTTTGATCAACTCAGGACCGCAGCTGTGCAATGCGCGCAGGAAACAAATGCGAGCATTTGGCTCGTGGTCTCCTACACCGTGGAGTATGCCATTGGCAAGTGCATATTATGTTTGGGATGATGATAAGTTGTGTTGGTTTGAACAAAGCGGTTGGTTACCTCGAGTATATGAAGGGCAACTCTTCTTGGTGAAGTTTGAAGATGAGAACAGTATGATCCTCTGGAGCGAGGAAGATGGGAAGCACAAGGCGTTGTCAGCGGGAGAAAAGAAGAAAACTATGAAGGCGTTGGATGACGCCTTGAAGTCAGCGCCTGTGCCTTGCAGATCGGTGTTGGAGGCAGTATCACCTGCAAGAATTCAGTGTTTTGTTGAGTATGGCAACTTGATGGCCACTTTGGATCCGAGTTGCTCAAACCAGTTTTGGCAGGGCATAAAAGAGAGGAACCCAGAGATGCTGATTCTACGACCGGATCGTGATGACCTGTCGGTGAAGATTGCAGCGGACGCTGCAGATTGGCAGCATGCTCGTGGAAAAGTCTTTGCGTTGGTGTGCCAGGATGACAGGGATATCGCGTACTACGAGGACGTTTTAGATCAAGGGTGTGTGTTTCAGCAACACCTTCCTTCCAGTGAGGTGATCTTGACCAACTACGAGGCGTTGGGAGACAAGATGAAGGTTGCGATGGAAGAAGACCGAGTGCTGAGCCCCGAGGACACCAACGATCTTCTACAGAATCCGAAGGCACACCAGTCTGAAAACGAGCATGTGGCTCAGAATGCCATTATGTTCCCCGAGGACACCGACGATCTTCTACAGAATCCGGAGACACACCAGTCGTTTTTATTTGATGTGTGTCAGGAGCATGGGGGTCCTTTTACAAAAGATGTGTGTCAGGAGCATGGGGGTCCACTCAGTGAACAGTTTCTGAGTAGCTCGATGGCCGTGGGTATCGAGCAGCAGACCAAAAAGCTGCTTCAACAACAAGACTACTCACTGATGTCGTTAGAGAAGCTCCTGATGACTCTTCCTCTACTACAACCAAGAAACCGTCAGAGCACCATGCAGGGCAGCTACTTTTCGTTGGGACTCTTTGCGCATGGCAACCACTACGGAACTACCAAGCTGTGTGAGAAGCTCCCCACCTTCACAAGATACCTCAACAAGGTGATGCAGTACCAATGCAGGTGTCAAGGGTGGACTGATGCGGTTTGGACGACGATTGCCATCGGTCAGAATGCTGGCAGCACCCTGCATCGAGACAACCACAACCAACCGAACACCCTCAACTACATTTTTAGCTTGGGAAGACACTGTGGAGGCGAGCTATGGACCGAAGCAGATGTGGAGTCGTGTCCTACGAAGAGCCGGACCCAGTGGAAAGAGCTTCCGAGTGGAGACTGGGTTTGTGGTTGCTTACACGATATTCACTACAAGCCTACGAGGTTCAATCCCAAGAAGTGGCACGCCTCAGCGAAATGGGCCGGACAACGCTTCATTGTCAGTGCTTTTACTTCAAGGGCGGTGGAACGAGTTGGAAGGCAGGCCTTTGAGGACTTCAAGAGTTTTGGGTTTCCTCTTCGAACCAGGAGATGGACGCACATGTTCAACGGAGAGACGCTTTCTGTGGAAGAGGACACCAAGGTTTATGTGGAAGAAGACCAAGAGTTTGCGCCTCTTGGAGATGATCTACTTGATGAACTACCAGCACAAGGAGAAGAAGATCAAGGCGCAGATCCACACATGGATCTAGAACCCACTCGTGAAGAGAAGCGTTTGGTGCTCAAGCTCCATGAGAATATGGGTCATCCAGCCCCAAGGGAGATGGCGAGAGCTATGAGGATTGCTCGAGTCAAACCCCATATCCTGCGCTACATCGTCAAGAAGTTCTCGTGTGCAGTGTGTGACTCTAAGCCCAAGCCGAAGCCCAGTCGACCGGCTGTGCTTCCTCGCACTTATGAGCCAGGACGAGTAGTGGGTGTTGATGTGATATGGCTGGGATCTTTAGATCGCCGTCAATGCTTTCCTGCCCTCAACATTGTGGATTGGGGAACAGGATATTCCATGGTGGAACGACTCAAGAACACTGAGGCCACCCACACCTGGCGGACGTTCATGAGAACATGGGGCAGAACGTTTGGTGTTCCAGAAATGATTGTCGCCGACCTCGGCTCCGAGTTTCGTGGGCATTTTGCACAAATGGCGGGAGAAGCAGGTGCCTTAATCAGGCATACAGCAGCCAGGTCGCCGTGGCAAGCTGGGAAAACGGAGCGTGCAGGTTCGCACTTCAAGTGGGTCTATGACAAGGCGCGGGACTCCACCTTCGTCAGCACTTGGGAGGAAATCAAGACTCTTATGCTTGAGGTTGAATGTGCCCGTAACCGTTATGGGAACCGAAGCGGATTTTCACCGATGCAACGGCAGATCGGGCACAACCTACGGCTTCCTGGGTCGTTGCTCTCCGACGACCACCTCGACCCCAGTCTCGTGATACAAAGTTCAGGCGAAGAGATGCGCCGGGTGTTGGAGATTCGGAAAGCAGCACAAGAAGCCTACATGAAGTCCCAGACGGAGACGGCAATCACCAAGGCCAAAAATGCGCGAGTGCGGATTCAAGTTGAGTTCCTTCCAGGAGAGACAGTGTATGTGTACCGGCAGCCCAAAGAGAGGAAGCGACGTCACGTGATGACACCAGAGGCTCATGAGGGCCGGAAGGCTTCATGGGTGGGCCCGGGTGTTGTTTTGGCAGTGGAGAAGCCAAGCTTGTGGATTTCCATGAAGGGAGAGTTGTGGAAAGTGAGCCAGGAACAGTGTAGACATGCTACAAGCGAGGAGCAGGTTGCAAAAGAGATGCTGGCAGGGGAACTAGAAGCTCTTCGAGAAGAGCTTGGACGGACATCGCTGAAGAGGACTTACCGCGATATGACAGGGGAATCACATCCTCCGGACGAAGATGAGGTAAGCTCCCATCGTCACGAAGGTGGTGTTGGAGTTTCTCAAGGTGATGTTCGACCCTCACAACGACTACGAGTAGGAGATCCTTCTCAGATACCGATTCCTGAGGATGAGGAATTGGACTACGAACCTTCTTATGAAGACGGTGAACAAGGCCAACAGCAACCTCAAGGTGAACTACCACAACCTCCTCAACAACCTCAGGAGTTCACCAGAACAAGGACGGAGTCTGAGCCAGAGCCCTTACCGACTCCTCAGAGAACGTTGACTCCGGAAACGGCTAGAGCAGTACAGCGCAACGAAGAGTTGGATGGCAACTTCAAGAGCCCCAGCTACCGTGCCGTTAAGGAGCTGGCCCAGAGACGTCCACCGAGCAGCCCCTACTTTGTTGAGTCAAAAGCTGAGAAGGGACAGCATGGTTGGTTCTACTTCGAAAAGAACAAATGGGAGTTTGAAGCAGATCAATGGGAGTTTGTGAATCCGAACGTGATCATTCGGAGACATTATCTTCCACGAGATCGACTATGTAACCCGAACAAAGTTCAGGGAGCGCTGATGCCAAGGAGATTGAAGTTGAGACAGTCATATATGGTGACCGAAGATGGCAAGGTGGACAAAGTGCAAGATATGTGGTTCAAGGAGCGCAAAAACACCTGCAAGACCAAGAACACATGGACTGGATTTACTGTGTTCTCGAACAAAGAGGTGAACATCGAGAACTATGTGACCGCCAAGGCGCGTGGCTAAGGCGAAGTTTTCGAACATGAGATTTCAGCAGCGGAGTGGCCAGAGTGGAGGAAAACGGACCGAGGCGAGTGGGACAAAGTTGTGGCCACGGGTGCGATCAAAGTTTTGAGTTTGGAACGTTCTCGTGAAATCAGGAACGGCCCAGAGCGCACCCGCATCGTGCCATCGAGGATGGTGCGACGCTGGAAGCCAGGAGACCAACCTGGTTCTCCTGATGTCATGAAGAGCAGGTGGTGCTTGCGTGGAGATCGTGATCCAGACTTGATGGATCTGGATAGACATGCTCCAACCCTCAACACAACGTCGTTCGGCGTGCTATTACAAATAGCAGCCAGCCTCAAACACCGAGCAACAGTCGGTGATCTCAAAAATGCGCTTTGTCAGTCGTTGCCATTGGTGAGGAAGAATGGGGCGTTATACGCGAGTTTGCCCCGAGGAGGCATCGAAGGCCTTCACGAAGAACAGCTTGTGGAGATCGTGGCAGGCGTTTACGGGTTGGGGGATTCTCCCAAACACTGGCGAAAGACCCTGCGGGAAGCCATTTTGGAGCTTGGATATCGTGAATCAGTGATGGATCCTACAGTGTATTATCTACAAGCGGGCCAAGAGCTTGTTGGAGTCATTGCTGTAGAAGTTGATGACCTCTTCACCTTCGGCAACACGGAGCACGAGATGCGAATGCAGGCCCTCCAAGAAAAATTCAAGTTTGGGAAGTATGAGGACGTGATGGAGTCCAAGGAGGGCGTGAGCTTCAATGGGAGACGCATCCGCCAGTTAAAGAACTATGAGTTCGAAGTGGACATGCACAAGTTTGTCAGTGAGAGATTGAGCCCAGTGCAGCTGAGCAAGGGCAGAAAGTCAGAGCCTAAAGCCTTGGCAAATGACAGTGAGATCAATCAGATGAGAGCGGTGATTGGTGCTCTTAATTGGTTGGCCAAGGAAGGGCGACCGGACGCAGCGGCAGCAGCATCATTGGGGGCAAGCACGTTTCCAAAACCAGTGGTGCAAGACATTTTGGATGTCAATGCGGCTGTTAAGTTGCTAAAGGAGAAGCCCGACCTCACCATCAAGATCAGAAGCATCGAGCCTTCAAAGCTTGCTTGGGGTGTGATTTCTGATGCGAGCTTCGGGAATGCCTACGCAGGGCACAGTCAAGGAGCATACGCAGTTCTTGCATTTGACGAGAAGTTGAAAGATGGATTCAGAGTTCCTTGCCCTTGATATCCTGGAGAAGCGGAAGGATTCAGAAAGTGGTCAACTCGACCCTGGCAGCAGAGACTCAGAGCCTAAGTAAGGGTCTTGGAGAGTTGAGCTGGATCGTCACGCTTTACAACGAGCTAACTGATCCTGGTTTTGACTTGATGGAATGGGAAGCTCGGCTGAAGCGAAACAGAGTTCTGGCTATGGCACCCGATTCCTCGAGTGATGGTCTGAAGTCCAGCCTATGTATTATAGACGCGAAAGCGCTGTTTGACCACCTTTCTCGGGAAACTACGGGGCCTTCTCAAGACAAACGTACCGGTCTTGAAATACAAGTCGTGCGCCAACATATGAACTCAATCGCTGGAGAAGTGCGTTGGATTCCTCACCCTCACATGGTGGTTGATGGACTCACTAAGCGTGGATCCAACATGCAGGCGCTGTATCAGCTCCTCGATTCCGGCGAATTTCAAATCGTTGACGTGGCAGAAGTTCTAGAAGACAGAAAACGGGAACGTCAAGAACGAGGATACAACAGAAGATGATGTTTCGACAACCGTGAACAAAGTTCAGGGAGCTGTGAATACTTGTACCGTTTGCTCTT